TTTAATTAGCGCCCTATCTGCTATCGTAGTTTTAAGGCTTCTAATTATGTTTATACTAAATAGCAGGACGTAGTTTGATTGAGAAGCCGATTCTTACATAGCTTACAAGCCCTGTGAGGGGCTACTAAGTTTACAAGGTGTATATAAGCCGAGGTTTACATTGCTAGCCGCGCGTCGCAGTCGGTGAGAACGTAGACTGCGGCACATCTGTGATCCTCCCGCCCAGGCCACCATGGCCGATGTCCGTCGTCGAGATTCTTCATGGTGTTCGGTGTGTTGGAGACCAGTACAGAGTGCAGTCTCGGCGTGTGAGGTCGGTGTCGTTCTGAGGGAACATCTCGGCCCGAAATCAGCCGAAACACATGTGTCTTCCTTCTTCTCCAGCGAGTCACTCCTTCCAATAACTCTTCACGCAATCGATTTCATCATCTGAGTCTGCCGCTCGATCTCCTGACCTTGACTGGAAGCGTAAGTACCGCAAATCAGAGCCTGTCCACCTCGATCAAAATGGCAGATTCGTCCTTGTCCCGCGAATGGCCCAGCCCAAATCCCAGCAAGCTGTGCTTCTTTAGATGAAACAAAAACAGCCTAGTAAGCATCAAGCCTTGATAAGCTCGTGTTGTCTGAGACCGCTCCGTCTTATTCTTGAGCTATGGGCATGACCAGGAATCGCCCGTACCTTGAAAGATTCCCGAACAAGAGCGATTTCGTTCATCCACACTGGCTTCGATCACAGCGAGCTCGAGGTCAAAGCGAGCATTTGGATATCATGCTCTAGCACTGTCTTCATGGCCATCACATACACTCACGCTTTTCCCGCTGATACCTGCGGAAGCGATGCGTTCGATTGGCAGAATTGTCTCGCAAATCGGTAACACTAGCATGTGAATTCGCAGCGCTTGCAACCGTATGCTCAAATACCTCATTGACTTGTTCAGATTCGAAGCCTTGTCTATGGCAGTTGAACGCAAAACACTCCGCTCTCTCACGACTCCACGAAGGTCCTCGACTCTGGCCTTATCCGCTTGACATCTCGAGGCGGCTCGCGCTATGGCTTGAGAGCATTGAGGCCGCGTTCCTCCCAGGTTCCTGAATTTCAGCATCGACGTCGAATCATTGAGCATTGATATGTTCCCAGCGAACTTTGCCATGGCTTTCTCTTCTCGATCGCACCAGTGCGGTGGTTGCGGATTTGGCACGGAAATGCGCAGTTCTCAAACCCAAAAGCAGAGTCAGCCGGGAATTGTCATCCCCCTCGGCTTCGGCTCTGCCGCCCCGCTCTGGCAGCTTCACCCATGGATCACTTCTAGGTCAATCACTCTATACAATTATTGTCTCTCGATCTATTGATGTTGTTTGACAACAGCTTTTGATGCACTTACCAGAATAGTGAGACATTGCATGACGACAGCTTCAAAATGTCTGAATTACAATACGATGGCCAGGTTTGCGTGGTTACTGGTGCGGGTGCCGGTCTAGGCCGAGCGTACGCTCGATTCTTCGCAGCTCGTGGAGCAAAGGTCGTTGTCAATGACTTGGGTGGCTCGTTCAACGCGAAGACCAACGAAAGAAGCGGTGCTGTGGCCGATCAAGTCGTTGCCGAATTGAGGAAGAATGGCTACACAGCTGTGGCCAACTATGATCCCGTTCAAGAAGGCGACAAGATCATCAAGGCTGCCATTGACAACTTTGGTCGCATCGACATCCTGGGTAACAAGGATCCAAACGGTTGTCTCGTTCATGGTGCTAACATCGCTTCACAGTCAATAATGCCGGCATTCTGCGGGACATCACGCTACGAAAGATGTCAGACGCCGACTGGGATGTGATTCACGATGTGCACTTGCACGGTGCATTCAAGACTACGCGTGCAGCATGGCCATATTTCCGCAAACAGAAGTACGGTCGCATCATTCAAACAACATCAGCTTCTGGCTTGTTTGGCAACTTCGGCCAGTCAAATTATGCTTCCGCGAAATTCGCTCTGGTTGGCTTGGCCGAGACGCTTGCGAAGGAGGGAGCCAAATATAATATTCTAACAAATGTGCTTGCGCCTGGGGCCGCATCTCGACTGACCCAGACTGTGTGGCCGAAGGAGATGATGGATTTGATGGCACCAGAATGGGTTGTCCCGCTTGTTGGATATCTGACCCATGAAAGTTGTCGCGAGACTGGGTCCATTTTCGAAGCTGGTGCTGGTCACTTTTCGAAAATTCGATGGGAGCGCTCAAAAGGAGTATTGCTCAAGCCTGACGAGAATCTGTCTGGCCAGCATATCATCGAAAACTGGAAGAAGATAGTCGACTTCACTGATGCAGAACATCCCAACCAGTCAGCAGACATCATGAGCCTGCTCAAGACCACGGCCGGTCTTCCGGCTAATAAGCCGTTGTCTGCTGAAGGCCTGGGCTTGAAGGGCAAAATCGCACTTGTCACAGGAGCGGGAGCCGGCCTGGGTCGAGCATATGCGATGGAGCTAGCCAAGCACGGAGCTGTCATTGTTGTCAACGACGTTGTCAACGCTGGAGCTGTAGCGGAGGAAATTCGCAAAGCAGGCGGAGACGCTACACATTGCGACATCTCTGTAGAGCAAGGCGATGCTGTTGTCAATGCTGTGCTCCAGACACATGGTCGCATTGATATTCTCGTGAACAACGCAGGTATTCTTCGCGACAAGGCGTAAGTGGAGCCAAATCTACAGCAGGAAGGGTGCACTGTTGCTAACAGGCTGCAGCTTCGCAAACATGACAGATGACATGTGGCACCAGGTATTAAGTGTTCATCTGCGAGGCACATACAAGACGATCAGAACTGCTTTGCCACACATGGTGAAGCAGAAGTACGGCCGCATCGTGAACATCACATCCACGTCAGGAGTCTACGGCAACTTTGGGTACGTTCAAGTCACCTTGGCATGAAAACTGCGCTAATCATGAGACAGTCAAGCCAACTATGCTGCAGCCAAAGCCGCTGTCCTGGGCTTCACCAAGGCCATCGCACGAGAGGGCCAAAAGTACAACGTGACGGTCAATGTTGTAGCTCCAGCAGCCGGAACTAACATGACCCGTACAATCTGGCCAGAAGCAGACGTCCGAGCAATGAAGTCGGAATACGTCGCACCACTTGTCGCGGCTCTGTGCAGCGAAAAGCCACCTGCAACGGGAGGCATTTTCGAGGCAGCTGGCGGGTGGTTTGCGCATACCAGATGGAATCGTGCACGCGGCATGGACTTTGACTTCAAGGCTGGTCCTCCGACCGTTGAGGCTGTAGCAAAGGTGAGATTGCCCTAGACACTCACATCGCACCCGGATGCTAACAACATTGCAGGCGTTTCCCAAGATCATCGCTTTCGACAAAGACGCCGACTGGCCAGAATCTCCACAAGACGGCAACAAATACACTTCAGGCATGGCAGTGAAAGCCGCCGGCCTCGATGACAGCAAGGAGTCGCGAGCCAAGCGCGGATATATCGCCAAAATCCTCGAAGCCACTCAAGCAAAATCCGAGCTATCCACCTACACCTACGACGATCGCGACGTAATCCTCTACAACCTAGGCATAGGCGCCAAACGTACAGATCTAGACCTTGTCTTCGAAGGCTCCGACAACTTCTCCGTGATCCCTACTTTCGGCGTCGTCCCAACCTACTTCGCTAAAGCCCCCTGGAACCTCCAAGACATCGTCCCTAACTTCGACTACCGCCAACTTCTACACGGAGAACAATACCTCGAAATCCTCCAATGGCCCATCCCCACCGAAGCAACCCTCGAAACCGACAGCAAACTCATCGAAGTCATCGACAAAGGCAACGCAGCAATCGTCAAACGCGGCAACACAACCTTTGACAAATCCACCAAAAAACCAATCTTCTACAACGAAGGCACAATGTTCATCCGCAAAGCTGGCGGGTTCGGCGGCCAACGTACACCCTCCGACCGCGGAGCCGCGACAGCAATGAACAACCCTCCATCCCGCAAAGCAGATAAAATCATCGAAGAGAAGACCTCCGAAGATTTGGCAGCTATCTATCGTCTCATGGGCGATCGTAACCCGCTCCATATCGATTCCAAATTCTCCAAAGTGGGAGGATTTGAAGTACCAATTTTACATGGTCTGGCGACGTTTGGGATTACAGGGAAACATATCTTCCAATCGTATGGCGCAATGAAGAGTTTTAAAGTGAGGTTTGCGGGTGTTGTGTTGCCCGGTCAGACGATTGTGACGGAGATGTGGAAGGAGGGCGGGAAAGTGATTTATCGGGCGAAGGTGAAAGAGACGGGGAAGCCTTGTATTTCGAATGCGGCGGCGGAGGTTTGGGATGGCGCATCGAAAGCGAGGTTGTGAGGAGAATGTTGAATTCATGAAGTTGGCTTAAGGTCGAACAGAACAGTGTTTGTGTGGAAGATTTGTGTTGATGGGCGCAGGCAATTGTAGAAAGCATGAAGTAGCCAAAACCGCAATCCTTTTATCTTTCTATTTTTGGTCCCGTCCGTTGCATATCAATCAACCAGATGACAAACATGAAAATCTTTCATTTCGTTGCGAGACAGTATCATTCTTTGCATATTGCTCTCTATACACTCTCTAGTCATGATGGTCCCGGCCCTACTGCCGCGGCACAAGCTCAAAATCATCAAAAGCCACCGTCGCAGTGCCAATACTAGCACACAACAACTTACCCGTAAACGGAATCTCCAGCGCGATACCATTCTGCGTAACCCCGTTCTGACCAGCAACGAAAGGCCCCACATCAAACGGTCCATATCTCTTGTCCTCAGTCGAGCTTGTTTTGATAGACGCATCAGGCAATCTCTCATTCTGACCTGCAAACTTGTAGCCGAATGCGCATTCGACGCCTGAGTTGGCGTTCGCAGCGACGGTCTTTTTGAGCGTGAAATAGAACTCGTACGCCTGATTATCAGGACAAACTTTGACCAGCGATTTGATTTCGACCGTGAGAACATTTGACAGTGTCATGGATAGTTGACCATTGGAAACGCTACCAGTGCAGATGCCTTCGTTGTTAGCAAAACCGATGCTGGCAAAGGTGTTTTGGCAAAAGTCCCAAGCGGCATTAGGCTGGGAGAAGTCGCCGTTGGGCATAGGAGACGGCGCGGAGCATTTGTCTGCTGGGGGATCGTAGCATTGACCTTCGTAGCAGTATCCGGAGGCACAGACATTTCCGCAGCTGCCACAGTTCTTAGGATGAGTCTTGAGACTGACGCACCGCCCACCGCATTGGTCGTTGAGACATTTGCAAGAGCCCATGTCGCATCGAGATTTGGGAGAACAGACTCGTCCGCAGGCTCCGCAGTTTTCTGTATCGGTTCCAAACATGGATGTGCAGGTAAAGCCATCACCTGAGCGGCCGCAGAGTCCAGCGGCGCCTGAACAGTAGCAACCGCACCGGTCTTCGTTGGCCTCTTTGAACGCCTTCTTCCCCGGCGGCAGGCTTACGGACCATTCGTAGAAATCTGCTGCCGTGCGGCAGGCGAGGTAGGGCTGTTTCAACATGTGTTAGTATTCAGTCTTTCAATTCCTCTCCCTGTTGCTGTTGTCAAGACTCACCAAGTAAGAGTACCAGTGGTCGAGATGCGCACATCCCTGCGAACGCATACAATCTCCAAAGTCGCGGTTACACTGTTCGAAGGTGCCCTCTTCACAGTTATCAAAGCATATATCGTGACCGTCGCAGCAGCTGCCAAAGCTGAAATCTGGAACCCAGTCAAACCCCTAGGAAGGGCCACAGCCGTTTTTGCCTGGAGGACGTGCCCCAGGTCTGACCCTAGCCACCAATGCCGGTGGAGAGTTGGGGCAGCGTGGGAACACGCCCTCGGTATATTTATTGCGGCGGACCTTTCGCGCCTTTTTTGCGGCGGCAGCTCTTTTGAGTGGGTAGGTCGACATCTTTCTCTCAGATGTGCCAGGAGTGAATCGAACGTTGCCATTGATGATTTCCCAGATGTACGAAGTGGAGCCTTGCTTTACAGTAATTCGGCCTTTGCAGTCCAACCCGAAAATGGAAGTGATGATGTTTTGGTTGTTGCGACGTTGCTCGGTGGGACCAGTGGACGATGGAGTGAGCACCAGCGTTCCTTGCGATGTTTTGGCAAGATACTGTGGCGTACTGCCGGCGAGAACGATGTCATAGACGCCATTGGGAGCATTTGCAGGCTTGCTGAAGGAGAATGCTTGGAGGGGAAGATCGTCAGCAGGTCCCATTGCCTTAGCCTGAGCTTCGGATGTAGGAGTGGGCAGGGGCACTATGCCGACTCGGGTTCGAGACACCAGTGGCACGAAGCCCGAGTCTACAATGTTGAATTGCTCGTTGCTCGTGGGATCCATCATACAGGGGGCCTCTGGAAGACTTGTCGCTGATATCAGCAGACCATCTGCAGGAGGTGCCGAACCCATGGCGACGATCGACGGCAGCGGGTCGTCCTGGTACGTGTACGCATCGATAAAGCTCTTTTTATCGACTGGGAAGACGACTTCGGAGGATGGCAGCGGCGTGCTGTCTGCGATTTGAATTACCGGTTCTGTGATCGTGCCACCGATATCCACGGGCACTGGCGTGCCACCCGAAGAGCCGCCATTTCCACCGGCTGGCGTCGTGGTTGTGCTTGCGGGAGGTGTCAACTTGACAGGAGCGCAGACACGGTCGTAGTACTTGAGTGTGCCTTTCGATGTCTTCATGAATGCCTGGCGACTGCCAATCGTCAGTGATACCAACCGCAGATTGGGTAGCAACCATGCTTACACTGGCGAGCTGTATATAAGGCAATAACCACCACCCACAGCATAGCTCTTGCACTTCTTGTCACCCGCACATTGCGTTCCGCAAGCCGCTGCTGTGTTCAAAGACTTTGCCTTGCTCCGGAAATATGGTATCTTGATCGCAAGACCAGTCGTCCCGCAAACGTCCTGACCCGAGACGAGTGAGGCCAGGGCACTGGCAGCCAGCAAGGAATTGATGAGCTGCATCTTCTCAAACCGTGGAACTTCAACTCAATCATCCAGAAAGACGGGCATGGGCTCTGCCAGATACTGCACCACATCGCAGCTCAGCCAGCCACGACTCTTAGATCAGGTCACATTCTGCTCTTGTCGGGCCTGTTCCCGCAGAGCGGCTCAACCATGCATGCCAGAGTGAACGAGTCGGGAGACATCTGAAAGCCTGCGAGCAAGCCACACCTGAAGTCCTGGCACAAACATCTCAAGACGCTTGCCCGATACAGGCAACGGACGAAATAGAGCTTATAGAGGCTGACTTGGCGGGAGGGCCTGGAAGGCGATAGAGCGCAGTGAGTTCCGTTTAAAGTTGCAAAGCGGTTAGGAGCGTCCGAGGACACGGGAAGTGTGGAAAGGCTGTTCCGTATAGAATGGGAGGTCGGTCAAGAAGCGTGCTCTTTCCAGCCAGGAGAGTAGATCTCGCGTGATGTGCGACTTCTTCTTCTAGATACGAATGAATCTGCAATTTGGGTGGATGCGATGATGAATGGAAGAGTGGAAGATCGAGTGCGATGTTGTACGGGTAGAGGTAGGTTTGGAGCTTTGCGCCACTGGTCATTGCCAAGGGCTGGATTACTGCAGCCAAGAACATGGCTTGCCACGTGGTTGACATGTTGTGCATTTGCAAGAACAGACGAGTCTCTCAATTAGTGTTCGTCTAGGTAGCCTCAAAGACTTGATCAACAGACGACCTTTGTTCCACGTGAGCTCGAAATTGTTCGGAGCAGCAACATGAAGATGATCATTATATCATAGTGAAAATACCAACCCCAATTCACAGCAAGAGTAACACACCAAACCCACTCACAACCCCTCCCACCACCCCTCCCTCAAATCCCACCTCTGATCTGGAAATCTCTCCTCAAACTCCCTCTTCACCATCTCCCCCAAATCACCCTCTTCCCTCCTCCCCTCAATCCAACTCCCCAATCCCTCACAAAAAGCCACCATAAACTCCCCACAAACCTCCACACCCATGGGATACCACTCCTCCAATTCCTCCCTGCTCTCAATCTCATCCGGTCCCAGGATCTCCACGCTCTTCACTCTCGGTAAATTCACCAGAGGTCTCAACAGCGCTTCAAACACCGTTAACGAAGAATCATCTTCGGCATCGTTATGCGGATTCGAAGATTCGCTTCCCATTCTTGCCAAGTAGTGACCGGCGGGGATTCCGAAGGGAGAAAGACCAGCGTACTCACTCCAGTAGGGGTCGACGAGACAATCTTCGGCGACTCCGACCCAGAGGGCTTCGATCTTGGTATATTGTCGGAGATACTGGACAACTTTCGTGATATTTGCTATCATGATTTGGAAACCTGCCTCTCTGTCGGACATGTGGTGATGTTCAAATGAGATGTAGATATATCTGGCGCCTCGGTAGATTTCTGCGGGCGGAGACCAGGGGAGAGAAGAGATCTCGAAGCGGAGAACTTCGTAAGAGCGGATCTCTTGTTCGGCTAACTCTGTTGCGATGATGGGATGAGAGGCGGCGAGGTTGACGAAGGAGGGGGAGGGGG